ACGCATTGTCTGGAACCGTATGGTAATGGTTAAATAAAGCATTGAAAGGTATTTGCCTCTGAAGTTATATTTGATATTCATTTGTGACTTGTGTATAAACACTGTGGTTTTATGGCTTGTTTCAAATGTCTTTCTTTGTCTCTGAGTATATTAGCTTTTGAGGTGGTCCAGAGGGGAATTTTCTCGTGTTGGCCGAAGCGAGTGTAATCGAGCCCCTGTGTCTTTCTGGGGCTACCAAGTTCATCCCTATTGGCTCAGCCCCATTATTCAATGACAGGAAGTGTCTTTTATTAATGTCATATTTCTGGGGTCACAATAACACGGCGAGAGGGACGCCCTGTAATCGTGGAAAAATGTTCGGCTCTCGTTCCCACCAGCAGCGTTTCGAGAAATGAAGTGTGACCCATATCAAATGGTGAATATCCTTTACCTTCATCCCAAATTAAAAACAATAGTAGATTAACCCCATGAAACCTACAGACCCACATATGGGTCCGTCAAATGCAGCTGCTGTATTCAAACCTGAGACACCTATGTTTACAAAGATCCCAAATTTCACCTGTTGAACTGGAGGGAAATGTGTATAAAATAATGCTCAAGATATAGATATTTGCTGTTTGATGTAATGCTGCAGCCATTTTAACATGGTATCCTGGGTTTGAATATTTCATTGAATGTGTGTCATGTAGCTTCAGCAGATACAGACTAGGTGTATGACATAGTCCTATATCATGGGAAAAAAAAAACATTTTGAACCTCCTTAAGGGGAAAGTCAAGCAAAAAGTAGAGTTTAAGAGGTTAAATCTGGCCTGTTTTGGTTCTTGAGTCAAAGCGTGACAGTTGATACGATTGAGACAGTGACCAACATCAGAGATGGAGGGAATGGGTGTGTCAGGTTGAATCTACAGCAGACCAGTTTATTGGGGTCCAATGTTGTCCATTAAGAGAATTCTCCAGAGAGTGTGTGAATGCTGACTTACCAGTCTGTTGAGGATTGATCCGCTCATGTCCTTCGCTAATAATTGTATGTTAGCGATGCTCTGCGTTTGTGAGCTGAAAACGCCCTGTCGGTTAACACGCGAGTAACACTGTGTTTGTAACGCTGTGCGTTTAGATGACTGCAGTGTTTTGGGCTCCATGTCTTAGTGATGCCGGTTGTGTCTGTATTAGTAATGCTAATGTTTTATTTGAGTGGAGCTGTGTGTGTTCTTAAGCTGGCTTTCGATACTCTCTGAATGTTTCTACAGTAAGTTTCTGTATTATAATTGATCTCAAGGCATTGTCATCATGTACAGATCCTACTTTTGATACGCTGTATATTTTTACAGTTAGTTACTGTATTGTAATACATCTGCAGGCAGTATCATCACATACGGAGCTTGCTCGCGATACGCTCTGTATGTTTTTACAATTAGTCACTGTATTGTAATTGATCTGCAGGCAGAATTAGCGTGTACAGAGTTGGCTTTCTATACTCTCTGAATGTTTTTACAGTAAGTTACTGTATTGTGATTGATCTGCAGGCAGTATCATCATGTACGGAGCCCTGCTGCTGTTCGAGTCGGAGTTTGTGCACATCGTGGCGATCTCCTTCACCTCGCTGATCCTGACTGAGCTCCTAATGGTGGCCCTGACTGTGCAGACCTGGCACTGGCTGATGATCGTGGCCGAGCTCCTGAGTTTAGCCTGTTACGTCGCTTCGCTGGTTTTCCTGCACGAGTTCATCGGTGAGTTCTGTTTGTGCCTGTGGCCCCTCCTCCTTTCTACTGTAAACACATCCCGGCTCCTCCTCCTCTGTTAGAACCCTAACCCTAACCCCTGCTCCTGTTACAACACCTCCCGACCCCTCCTCATGTGATAACTAAAGTCCACTAGCACCTCCCCTGCTGATGTAAACTCTCCCTGCTCGACTATAACACTATAGCTCCTCCTCTTCTTCAACCTCAGTTCCAAAAGAGTTGGGATGCTGTGCAAATTTTAAATAAAAACGGAATGCAGTGATTTGCAAATCTTGTAAACCCATGTTTTATTCACAATAGAACATAGACAACATATCAGATGTTGAAAGTGAGACATTTTACCATTTCATGAGAAATATTAGCCCATTTTGAATTTGATGGCAGCAACACACCTGAAAAAAGTTGGGGGAGGGGCCACAAAAGGCTGGAAAAGTAAGTGGTACTAATAAAAAAAACAGCTGGAGGAGTATTTGCAACTGATTGGGTTAATTGGCAACAGGTCAGTAACATGACTGGGTATAAAAAGCATTTTAGAGAGGCAGAGTCTCTCAGAAGTAAAGATGAACAGAGATTCACCGATCTGCAAAAAATTGCATCTAAAAATTTCAGAAAAATTTCAGAAAAATGTTGTCATCCGCATATTCTCAGAAGCCATTGGAAAGTTTGGAGATGAGCGGTAGATGTTCAGAATAATAAGGGTGGGGGTAAATGTAACACAGCATGTTCCTAAAGTATCAGAATTCCAGGGAAATTCATCAGGTACAGATTGGTATCCTGCCTGAGGAATATCTCACCTCAGAGGGCGGTGTATTTATTGACCCGTTTAGTGCCGCGTGCAGATCATGTGACCTCCAGAGGGGTTCTAAATGTGCAGCACGATAATTCAGGTTCCCCCTGACAGGCTCCCAACGAGCACAGTCAGTGTTTCTGTTGGTCTGCTTCTTTGGGTGTGTCAGGGGGTTCGTTGGATACCCTGTGGCCCAACGTGCTCGCCGATGTTGCCGACCATACTTGACTCGTCCGTGTGAGTCAGCTGTGTGGTCCTCGATCACGCCAATCACGCTCACAAAGATCGGACTGTATTTTCCTTCCGCTGAAACATTCAGTAAAAGTCCAAATAAAACTGAGAGACGGTGTTGTCAGTGCCAACGAGATGCAGATTTATTCTAGAAGGCTCCGCTCCAGCTCAGCGCGCAGTTTTTTTCCGTCTCTGTTTTACCATTTTCCATACCTTTTTTATACCTCAGATACTGGGGTCCATGACCCTTCAGTTTCACAAAAAAAAAAAAAAAAATTGTTTCGTATTTTCAAAATGTCCCATTTTCCCCTCGCTTAACCCAATAAATCACAGCTACGACGCGTAAAATATGGTTTGCTCCCATTTCCATTTTTTTTTTTTGCTGGTGCACGTGTTCATCCTTGTCTAATTTCTTTTCCCCTTAGTCCACCAAGTTTGGTAAGTGCAGTCATTAGAGATTTATGCGGTTGTGTCATTCCAAAATAAAATGGAGTTTTGCCTCATTCGACGAGCCAGTGGAACTAAATGAGGGCCAGAGGAGTGGAGGAGTGAGTCTGGCAGATGCCTTGTACTGCAAATAAAAATCAGATTTGCTTATTTAGAAGACATTAAGGCATTACTAACTATACTTATTTTATTTACTGCTCCTTTCATTGATGTTTTTATTAGATTTTTGGATCCGCTTTGTGCGGCTAATGAGTGCAGGTTAGAAACACATTCTGTCAGCCGAAGAATTTCCTCTCTAGTCACTCCGAAATATGATTTGCAAAAGTTACGTCCTTTCTTATTGAATCCTGGCTCAATTTGAATGCATTTTTACTAAAATCCTCAAAAATTCACGTTCATTCAACTCTGAAACCTATTCACAGAATTCATATTTATTTACTGTCAAACTGTATTTCATCCTCCGTTCACTGTGACCCTTGTTTTGCTCATTTTTGTGGATTCCTGCTGAAACTTTTTAATACAATTTACCTTCATATTCAGTGAAAATGTATTTGTTTCTCCCTGACGACGATAGTCAGGAGATACTATGGTTTAGTTCCGGGGCCGCTGCCGCCGCCGCAGAGATTTTCTGTTCCGGGCTCTGGAGGCTTCAAAGTTTATAGGATTTTTCTCTAAATTTGCATAGTCAAAGATGTTTATTTGGCAATGCTCAAGATCAGTTCTCGGCAATTTCCAACAACCAATATGGCCGGCGGCGGCCATTTTGTCGAAAGAATTTTTTTTTGCAGATTTTGTGTTTTCTGCTCATTTTGAGCCACATTTACATATATATATATATATATATATATATATATATATACATGTACAGGGATTCATATTAATGTCATAGCAAGAGTAAAAACAGTAACATTGCGGCTGTAAAAATTTGCAAGTGATCTCTCATGGGGATCGGGGAGAGGCACGACTCGATCCCTGCGGCGACCGAGTTATCTAGTTAAGTCATTGATTCACTCTGTAATCTGTTCGGATAGTTGAAGTGCATTCACTTTGAAATTGGTTTAGAAAATTCACATTTATTTACACTGAAACCTCACTTAACCCTCAGAGCGCTGAATGTATTTTCAAAGAATTATAAAGTAAAATATCTAGCGCTGTTGAAAACCTATCATGTTGCGACTTGTTTAAAAGAGCTCCCTTGCGGGCTTTGAATTAGATACCTTACATCATTGAGCAACACTATTTGTATGTAGTACTCTAAGGGTTAATGGATTAAATCTATAGGGCCTCTCTGCTCCGTTTTGCACAGTGGTGACCTGAGGCAGTTCATGAGTTAATGGTGGGTAATAATCAACCACATAACAACCACACCAGTCTGAGCTCAGCACAGTATAGCGCATAGATTTCTATCACGGCCTTTTCAGTATTAATTAGAGTCTGTCTGAGAGCTTATTTTAGCTCTGGGTCAGTCCCTGGCAGTCAGCACTTGATTGTAGGCAAAAGTCGCACATTTTACCGCAGGTGCTCTGTGGAAAGCTGACTGTTGACTGGAAGAGAGGGACTTTTAGCCATCCCCCCCTCCCCCCGAGGAGACTAGATTAGACCTCAGGGTAAGATGACAAATCTGTTCAGCTATTGAGCAAAAATAGTTTTGTGTCTTTTCTCCCATCTGTTTATTTGCCTTCAAGTGAAAAAGCTAGATGAGCATCCTCTGCGTGCGGCTATGTTGTTATTTTTGTTCGGGATTGTACAACTAGACAATTTATACCAACTCTGCTCAAGACTGGGTCAGAAAATCTGAACCTGAGTGAAGATCGAACTCACAACTTCGGGATTCTGTCCCACGGCTCTACCAGCTGAGCCACCAAGTCCAGTTGGGTGTGGTGCACAAGCTTGATCTCTCCAGACCACAGTGCACACGGTGCAACTAGCAAAAAAGGACCATCTCCATCTCGCGTTTTCTCTTGCTCTCTCTGTCTTCCAGATGTCTACTTTATCGCCACCCTGTCGTTCCTGTGGAAGGTGACGGCCATCACCCTGGTCAGCTGCCTGCCGCTCTACATCCTCAAGTACCTGCGTAGGAGGTTCTCCCCGCCGAACTACTCCAAACTGACCTCTTAACCCCTCCTGTACCGCCGCCTCCTCCCTCCGAAGCCGCTTCTGAGGGGGCGGAGCTTTCCCTCGCCTCAAACTGAGCCCCGCCTCTCTCTGGCACTGAGGCTGTGCCGAGCCTGCCGATCACCCCTCCCCTTTATTAGGTGCAGGAAGGAAAGCTAGAGAGGGAGGAAAAAACATTTCTAGCAAATTCACCGTGTAGATTGTTGTCTGTCCGCCAGTCCATGGGGTAATTATCTGGTTCTTTCGAGTGTGATCGGGTTGCACGTTGCTTTTTTATTTCAGTAGATGGGCTCGGCTCTTGTGAGCTGATCAATGAAGATTCACAACATAGTTGCAAAATGGGGGCCCTCTCATCTCTATTTACGGGTTCTCCTCCACCATCGGTGAAGAGCATGGTCTTACATAATGGGAAAATCTGAGAGAAAAACATCTGGTGGGCTAGTTTTTATTTATGTTTACAGGCATGGTACATTACATAGTGATTATATATTGGTAAACAACCTCTAAATGAATTAGGCTCAGATGCACTGAACTGACTTGAGTTTGGCTTTTCTCATCTCACAGGGAAACAAACTGGAATTTTTTTGCCACAGGACCAACGCCGATGCCCTTTGTTATTTAAGTTTTGCGCGCTGTGGGAAATGTCCATTGACACGATTTAAGCATGACTCAAATTAGGGGTCCAGGGGTCCAATGCTCATTTTGTCAGTCTGTTTAAACAGGGAGTAGTCATTGACTAAAATATTTATTCTTCGCTGAAATACTTGCACTGCCATTGCCACAATGCGGCTGGGAAGGTGGATCTCTGTGAACTTGAAAAAAAATTCCGATTATATTTATTGGAATCCTTGTGTTTAATTATACAAATGGCAAAGCAACCATATATTCTGGAGTATAATGACATTAAACCCCGTGCAATATTTAATTTTTACTGACAAATATATATATATGTTTTTTTTTTTTTTTTTTTTTAGAAATGATGCATGCATGGATAACGTAAATGCGTAAATTTGCTTGCTTGTGTGATGGGGGTAGTGTGTGTGAAGATACATTTGTGTGTTCGCACAATTGTAATAGCGTATATATTCATCAGGATGTGTACATTGTGTGTTGTTATAAGTGTGTAGAGGTTGATTTGTGTGATTGCATATGTGTCTCCGCACATGTGTACATGTTCTTACTGGTGTGAGATTTTGCTACTTGAGTCACTGTCAAATGTGTGTACGTATGTGGCGAGTGTTCATGTGTCTGATACTTGTGCTCACGGGTGTTTGTCTGTGTATATGTGTGTGTGTGTGTGTATGTATGTATGTATGTATGCGTGTGTGTGTGTGTGTGTGTGTGTGTGTGTGTCAGTCCCAGAGAACCGGCCAGAGCAGAGGTGTTTGCTCTTTATGTACACAGTGTGATTCACAGTCCCAGACAGTTAAACGGTCATTGTTCGTTATCCCTGTACAAGGACCTCAGTGGTAAGGTCAGTTATGTCTGGAGAGCTCGGTCACGGCCTGACCACAGCGGAGTGGCTGCGTAACCCGTCTCCCGCCTGGCCACAGACCCGTCGAACAGCGCGTCGCAGTTGGCTGCAGTCGACGCTAGCGTTTGCTGCGCTGTTACACACCGCATGATTCAACTGTAATTACCCCTCATGGGAGCTGGAGCAGCCTTCACTCTCCCCCCCATCACAACCGCTAACTTCCGACGAGCCCGCCGAACATCAGGCGAAAGTATTTTACGACAGCATGTTGCGCTGCTGAAAACGTTACTTGAACACCTGCATTCTATAGGCAGCCAAACCTATGTGAGTTAGTGATGCATATAAAGGGAATCTTTTTTTCCTCATCATAAATATTCGTCTCATTTTAAATAACAAAAACGTTTTCTCTGGCTTATGGTGTTTTCTATTATTTAATCACTGACTTAAACACACCTTAACTGTTATCAAACTGAAGCAAAGTTGCGGAATGAAAATTTAGGGAGATTTCATGAGATATGCTCTTTTTTTATTTATTTACTTTTTTTTTTCACATTAGTGTAAATTCAGAAACTGTTCCCTCCAGGGTCCCAGAGAAATGGGTGACGAAATGGGCCCTGAATCCTGTACAGTGAATAAAAAGGTGTATTCAGTGTAATAAGTACAGTTGATGGTGCCATAAATGCATTTTCGCTGCTTTGAGGAACGTGTCTTTTATTGAATTTGAATAGGACACTTGTTGTTGTGTCGTACAGTCCGTTCGAATACTAGTCTCGTGTGTTGACTTCTGACACCCCCACTCTGCCCCTGGAGTTCGAGTAGGTGTCCCCCCCCCCCCCCGCTTTCTGAACTGACTTTTCTTATCAACTAATGGCATTTTTCAGCAGTTATGACATGGATATAGTTACAGTGTAGATCTGATGTCAAACTTGTGTACACTGTATTGTGCCAGTTACTGCAAGGAGTATTTTTTTTTTTTTTTTTTGCTGTTTTTTGTGTGTATTTTTGTACCTTTGGATGTGTTGTGACCTTGACCAAATGTAAATAATTAACGGTTTGTTTATTTATTAATTTTTTTTTTGTTGATAATTGCACATAAAATTTAAGAGAACAAAAAGGGATGGTTTGTGTTTACGAATACCTATGGGAATAAAGGCATTTTATGTTGTTTCTTATGCTTGTACGTTGGCTTATTAAAAATTTTATTGGTAATGACTACTTTGCTAAGAAAATGTGCAAAGCACCAAGCTAGCAATGCGAACATTTTTAGATTTTTTTTTTACGAGTTTTTAATCATTGTATCATACGTTTTTGCAAGTGTTAGGGTCATCTTGCAAAATACATAAGCCATGTAATATACACAAAAAATGAATATAGAATTATTGTGATTGTGTTCATGTAATTGTTGTAGGGTACGTAAGTAAGACAAAGGTAACATTGCTAGCTAGCTGGAGACTCCTGGTGCCATCAAAGGGCGTTATTCGGTCGCAGTCATTCGCAATGTAATACATTAGCAGAATGCTAGCATTTGTGGGCAAAAACACCAACCTTGTAAGAAAATTGAAAGCACATTTATATGTTTACATTTCACTTCTGATTTATAATCAATCATATGTTTGCTAAAACTTCTGATAAGGACTTTGGCTTTTTTGTTTTTTTAAGCGGGTAAACATAATTTTTTGAACTGTTTTGCTTCATTCACTCCCATTAATTCAGGACTGTCTCGCGAGCGCCCTCTTGGTGAATTGAAGCTGACTTCGATACAATGGGATTAATACAAAGTGGACAGGCTCTCTGTAGAAGGGCTCTAGTTTTACGTTGATGTGCCGCCATCATTAGAGTTTCAAATTTTCCCATTGTAAAACAATGCAATGCACCGCCATCTTACATTTAGATCATCTCGGGGGTTATTTTCCACAACAGAAACCTATTCATCCTGGGTCAACATGAAGTTACACTGTAATGATGCTGCAGTAATGAGAATTTCATCTGTGGTTCGACTTGAGCTCTGTGCAAAACTGGCCCTCGATGTCTGACTGTTCCATTCTGTCTTATAAATGTCATGAAGACTTCTTTTCAGAGATCTTAGTCATTTTCTCAATATAACATCTTTTAAATACCTCACTGTCCAGACAGTTGTCATTAATGGTTGAATTAGTCCAGGCCTCAGTTTGTAGCTGAGGCCTGAAGTTTATGGAGGCCGAATAGGCACAGATTCTCATTGTTGATCGTAACCTGTTAATGTAGAAGGCAAAACAGGCCATTAGTGGCCAAAACCCACTTCGAGCCACGTTCACCCCACCCAGGGATGGAAATGAGTCCAGCCGAAAAAATGGGGACGAACTTCTCAGAACAAATAAACAGCGAATCATATGAAAACAAGGGTGGTTTCCTGTGTCAAATAAGTGCCTGAAAAAGACGACGGTCTAACTGACTCCTGTTTCCTCAGACTATGAAAATCTTTCACTGCTGCGGAGGTTTGACATTTCGAGATGCATGAGACGTTTAGAATGAGTCTTCCTGACACTGGTGCTGGAGGTCCAGTAGTGTCTGTTGGGTCTTCGGTCCAGACAGACACCCGAAGGATTGAAGCGTTCGGTTCATTTTTTTTTTTGATTTGGGCTATTTAATTTCTCTCACTGGGTCTGTTTTTGCAGTGTGACTCACGGCGAACTGCATAACTAGACGCAGGCTAGTCTGTATTTGGAAACAGCTAGCTCCTGCCAAGTAGTGCAGTGTGTAATTGCGAGGCCTGTGGAGGTTACGCTGGGCTGTAGCCTGGCCCACGATGATGCTAACTCATGACGCCAAAGTCAAACTGAGTGCAGAGTCTACACAGGCCAAATATAGAGCACAAGATCCTTGTGTTTGCATTTCTAGACATTGTTAAGCCAGCCTGGGAACCCTCCACTCTGAAGATGTGTAAAATATCCTTTATCTGTCCTGTGCGGATGGTGACCGTCCCTGACACCCAGTGGACAGGGAGCCAGTGTTAGCCAGGAGAGGGCACCAAGATGCTAATCTTAGCTCAGCACATTCAACTGTGCAGCCACAGATGGAGCTCATTAACTTAAAGGTTACATGATATTTTGTCTATCTCAGAAAAGCGTGTGTCTGTAGATCTAAAAGCAGCCTATTTAACTGTTTACAGATAAACTTTTCTGGTATAATTTTTTTCCATTCATTATTTTATCAATAGCAGTTTTTGGCCATATTGATTTACTGCGCTTTTCAGATGCTAAACAAAAGCACCACCGGAGCTGAAGATGCGCAAAGTTAAAA